AGTTGAGGTATCGTTTTTAGATTTAGTATGTTTTTAATATTGTGATGTATGTTACATTTTTAAAAAATATTTTAACATAATTTTTATTTTATTTTTGATATTAGCACATTTAAATTATCAAAAAATATATTAATATTAGCATATTTAAATTATCAAAAAATAAAAAAAAAATTGAATTAATTTGATGTTTTTAAAACCAAATATATTTTTAAAATATACCCAAATAAAATTTACAACGCAAAAACAAATAATCCCCGGTGTGCTCAAGGAGCCACTAATTTGCAATGAGACCTTAGATGCTCGGAGAGGATTCATGACCTATTATGCTTTGGATTAGAAGGCAGTGTGGGTCTTGCCTTATGTTGTTGTATGTCATGGATTAGGGGATCAAAGATGCAAATTTGGAACTCATTAAGAGGTGCAAATCCCGAGTCTGTTACCAATCATTTGAGATTAAGTTCACTCTTCAAAAGATATTGAAAATACACTTCTGAAATCAATCTAGTTGAGAAATTCTCTTCAATGTCGTATTCAAAATATAAAATTCTTCTACGAGTACTGACAAGGAGATAGAGTTAACAGGCATCTGACAAATATATTAATCGCCGGGAGCCGGCTTTCCAAGTGGAAAAACTAGATGTCGATGACTGACAAGTGTAGGAATGTACAACAGAAAAGATACAAATTTTATAATCTCACACGGCGGAGTAGAGAGAAACAAGGAATATGCACGGAGCAGGCCATGGCTTGTTTTCCACTCCTTTGGCTTTGAGTACTTGAAATCACATCACGTCAAAATTCAAAAAAGAGTGTATTCAAAACGACAGCAAGCAAGGCATCCCTCTAAATCCAAATCGGATTACATTCATCTCGCCGCCGAGGCCGGTGTCCCACCATCATCAATGGGGTTTTTGCCACCTCCCATGTCTCTCCGCACAAACTGCTCATTATTTGTTTCTGTTCAAGAAAGATACGTTTACGCTAGGCATAGAAACATGTAAGATGGGTAATGGTCCAATTGTTTACCAATAAGTACGATTTTCTAGAAAATAATAATATATATTCTAAAAAACAAAACACAATGTACAATAGCTAATTTTTTTAAAGCCATTGAACTTTCTGGCATAGAATAAACACATTTTATGCATGCATTTTCATTGTTATATAAAAACTATCTCTTAAGATGAAATCAAGTAAAAGTTAGGAATTCTTTTTTGGATAATCCAAATATATTATTATTAATAAATAAAGTGAAAATGCCATATTTATATTTATAAATTAAAATAAATTCTATTAAAAAAATATCTATCCTTAAATAAACCATCAACACAAACAAAGCATAATGAGCAAATGTAAAAATAGCTTGATTGGTATAAAACAACAACATAAAAAGTAACTGCAATTATCTTAATGAATATAGATTAAAGATGACTTTTACTTTCTTGCAAGATGAGAAAAAAATGAGAAAAAGAAATTTGAATTGTTTGTTTTTCTATTTTTACCATTAAGAATTGACATGAGAAGAAAAAATTAAAAGATTTAAAGTGACATTTTATTTATTTATTTAGTAACCTTGGGGGTTTGTAAATTGAAGTTAACTAATTGAGTTGATTCAATCCAAAAACTTTAGGTTATTTTGGAATTTAAAACATGATGGGTTTCAAGTTAAAATTATTATTCTATTACCCTATTTTTATAAGTAGATTTGAATTGGATTAGTAATTCTATTCATACATGACACCATTAATGATAAAGTATGATTACCTAGAAGTTAGAATGATTAGTTCTTAAAAATACATTTTTATCAAGGTTTTATATCATTATTTTGCACTTGAAGTATCAATAACTCCTTAAC